ATATATATACTTATATAAAAATAATATTAGTTTCGTGAATTATTTGTATTTGAATTTATTAATACTAGTTAATATTAAAAAATTAATTGTCCGTATTTAATATTCTTATTGTACATAAGAAAAACTTATAACCTAATATGTACAATAAAATTGATTAATATCTAATATATATGTAAAAAATCAACAATAAAAATCGTATTTTAACTAAATGTTATTATGAGAAAATAATATTTTCAAATCAATGTTGTCTATATTTTTACTTACCACTTGAAGTATTATCGGAATCTTCGCTCTTTGGTTCTGGGGTTGAAGGTTTCGAATTATAATCAGATTTCAATTCGACAAAATCTTTACAGATCTGTTGACCAACTTTGAACGTGTGATTTTGATAAATGTCTTTATTATGAGATATTTTTAATTTATCGACCAATGTATCAATTAACAAAGCCAACGAACAATCATATATGTAAACTGGAATAACGAGAGATTCTTCAGAATCATGAAATTTTTTTTGTGCATCTGTTTCTGAGATGTTGTTTTCGATACACTGATTATATTTCGATTCATCATTTTGTGAATAATCAGTTATATTAATGTCCATTGTGGAAACTTTCGAGCACAAAGTATTTTCGCATAAATCCATATTAAATATAACAGATTCAGAATTTTGTTCTAAATTGCTTTCTAAATGTTCTTCAATATGTAAAGGAGATATGAACAAACGCACATCTTTTTCTGATGCAGGTAAAATAGTGATAATTACATGAGTTGTGCTAATTCCTTTGATAAAACATTTCCAACGTGGATAAGAATTAGATTCAATATTTGAAGAAAGTTTATCTGGGAACAGTTTTAAAATTATATTTTAAAACTATAACTAATAAACATTATATAATTATATAATAATATAATATTATATAATTATACTATATATATATAGTATTATATAATTTATAATAAATATATAAATAAATTTTAATAATAAGTATTTATATGAAAATTATTAGAAAAATTTTACATAATTTAGTTTATGTAAATACCTTTTTGAGAAAAAAATGGTAAAAGAGGACCACCAATTCTACGTCTATCAAGAAGCATTTTTGTGAATCTTTGTGATTCAGCTGAAGTTAATAAAAGTTCTTTATTGTGTAATTGTTTCATATGTTCTAAAAAATTGTCCATTAGTATCTTGTTTGCACTTCTTTTTTCTTTGTCATTGTTAATCGTATCTTGAAATAAGTTTAATATATTTAAATAAATTTAATACATACATATACAAATATAATATACAAATATATACAATATAAAAAAATTTCAGTGATTATTTTAAATAAAATTTTTACCATCAGCAAACATTGAAAACAAAAGTTCAGCTTGTTGACATTTTGGTAATATATTTAATGTATCAAAAGAAAAATGCATCATATATATTCTTTCATCAATAGTTGGTAGACCTTCACATGATTCTTCAACAATGCTATTGTTAGTTTTGATATTTTTGTTAAATTTTTTTGATAGTTTAATGTCATGATGAGGTACTTGTCCATAAATAATCCCAGTACTTTTTTCATTTGGTATTACTTGACTTAGTAAACTTAAATATTCCAAAGTTAATAATGAATTGATGCATTCTTCATCTATACGAGTAATCTAATAGCGAAATATAATATTGTTAGTAAAAAAGATATATAAATTTTATAAAATTTTAAAATTTTTGGAATTATATTTTTCTATGATATGTATTATATTAAAATAACATCTAAAATCAAAAAAGGAGATTACATATACTGACTACAATTAAAATATTATAAATATTATTAATATTATATATTATAAATAATACTTATAAAAAATATATTATATATATAAATGCTATATATGAAATTTTTATAAAAAATGTTAAGTAAACAAAAAAAAATTGATATTGTTTATATAAATATAAATATGAAATTAATTATAAAATATAATTATGAAATTAACATAAAACAACAAAAAAATCATAATAATAAACACGCATAATATACAGGTATACTTTATTATGATATATATGTTTTAATTTAAATCTAAAAGACAAAAAAAATAAAAATTTATTTAAAATATAATTATTCAATATAACTATTCAAGTCTTAATTTCTAAGATATAGACAAAATAAAAAATATTTTATATTTTGTATATCATATTTATAAGTAAAAAGATTTATAATAGATAGACTTTTGCAGATTGAGTTAAACTTTTATTATATTTGACACAGAATATTTGATACAGAATAAATTAATGATTAAATTTTGATTTTTAAAAAATGGAAAATACAAGTATGAAAAAACTAAAAATTTTTATTAATTATTCATTATTCTAAATAATTAGTTTCTATTCATTATTCTAATAATTAGTCTTTAGTATGAAATATAAAACAAATGATATATATATTTTGTCAAGCAATATTTTAAATTATTGAAATACATAATATATAATATTATAAATTATTTAAAATAATATATGCATTTTTAAAATAAATAGTAAAAATCTATTAAAGTAACATTTTATAAATATTTATTATTCTGAAGACAAAAATATTAAAATATTTATAAATTGATTTCTAAAGTAATTTCAAATAACATTTTTTTTTGCAAAAATTTTCATTATGAATTTGTTAACAAATTATTAACAAAAAACATTAATCAAGAGCACATAGCCAAATCGCAAAAGTAACGACCAAATTGTTGACCAAGCACTGAATAAGTCTAATCAAGATATGTCGAAGAAAGTTATATATTGAATGACAAATATTATTTTATTGATAAAAAATTATATCGAATTATATTATGAAAAAAAAACTTGATTCGATATAAAAATATATAAAAAAATTTTTCTATTCTCAAATAAAAAAAATAATACTAATACTAAATTTAATTTATTTTTTAAATATGTGCTATTATTTTATTTTATTCATTTTCCAAATATAAAATCTATAAAAAAAATATTAATTGCAATTAATCTTTTTTTATATTACTAAGAAAGGGATATTTTATTTATATGGAACGTAATTATTTATATGAACCAATTAAACATAATAAATAATACATAAATAAAACATAATAAATGGGGAAACAAAATATAAAATCTATTACAAAATCAATTCATTATTTTCGATTTTTTGTTATTACATTAAAGAAATGAAACAATATTTAATCAAACTAATTTGAATGAAAGAATTGTTACCAGTTTTTTAATCCGATAAATCTGAGTTTTTTTTTAATATATATATATATTTGAGTTGATGGAATATTAATTTTCTACTTATAATAGTATATCTATACTTATGTTCTATTAGTTATAATAAAGAAAGTAAAAATATATTAATTTAGATTCAGTAAAATGAATAGCATATTTATGTATTTGATTAATATTATTTAAAAAAAAGCGATTTTTTTTATTTCTTATTTTTAAAAATTTGTAATAAATATTATTTCTAATAAATACTTTTTTTATTTTAATTATAATTATATTATAAATAACATTTCATTTTTCACAATTTTGCAAATTTAATTAACAATATTATTAACAATATAAATTTTTCTATTATTTATTTTTATAAAATTTCTATTATTTATTTATAAAATTAATATT